ATTAACCCCTTGCAGGAACTCGGGAGCTCTCCCTTTAGCATTTTGCAATTTTGTTCCCTGCATGGTGCCTCAGTTACAGTCACATTATGCTCCCGGAACTGGTGAAAGGGTAGCAGTTGAATGCTACCCTTCCTGATGGTGAACACCATGCCCCCCTTATATATTAAAAAAAGTGTGGAGAAGAGGCTTCTATTTCAGGGACTCCTATTTTGGGGGACACTCTCTCAGATCTGAGCAAAAAGCATTCCTTTATGAACTTTCAGCTCAGAAATCTCATTTCCCACCTCTCCAACTCCACTCCTTTTCCTCTTATTACGTATAATAAAAATATGACCTTTAAGTTACTTTGCCAACCTTTGGACATGTTCAGATAGTTTCACTCTTTACTTGGGAAGCCTCACTTTGAGCAAAGTTTGTGATTTCTCTGCCCTTGTATGCTGTTCTGTCTTTTCAAGCTTTCTGTGTACAACCAGACTCCCATATTTAGAAGTATACCATGGCTTACATTTCCACACTCCATTTAGAACCAAGTTCATTGCTCCATAACGACCTGGTTCCCTTCTCTCCACATCAACAGCATTCTCACAGCCGTTAGAAGGATCCATTCCCCCTTCCTTATTCCCAGAAGTGAGTTAAATCTAGGGCAATATGTCCTGAAAAATTATTTAAGTCCCAGAAAAAAACACAACCCTAAAGCTTTTGTGTTTTTGTCTTTAGAAGAGAGTGATAGCTCAAGCCAGCATTGGGAGCGTAACTTGTTACAAGCCACGCTCCTATTCCTTATGGTTGTTTTATACACCCAAAAACACTTTTGGAAAGACAAAACTCTTGACCTAACATGAAGCACCAAGTCCCACAAGACTCCAAACTCCAAAAAATCTAAATCTGATAAGACTGACTGTTTTTTTCTAAGAAAACATGCAGGTGAAAAGAAGAGACTTTAAAATAAATAAAAAAAAAGATGCTCCAAATGTGATCTGCCATTGCAGATGGCTGTTTTCTTCACAATGGTAACCATTACATCGCTTCAAATGTTTTTGCTCTTTTGATACCACTTATACAGCTAACTTATAGATGGGAAATCACTTCCACAAATATTTAATAAATATATACTTTGTTGCTGGAATGTTCTAGAGTTTTATTGTCAGCTCCTTATTTTAAAAACTATCTTTCCCCACATATTCAAATACCAAAAAGATTGTAATGAACAAGGATGACTGGAATGGGAGATGAGAGCATCAAGTATAGAGGCAAAACATAAGGCATGTATTGAATCCTGATCACCAATTAGGCTTTGACATTACAAGAGTGCTGGGCAGTAGGCCAATCACCTCACTTCTGCCCTCCTCCTCCTCTGGTGGTCTGCTGACTAGTTTTGTCATATAGACCAGAGATGGGGAAACCTTTGCCATTCCACACAATGTTGTTGGACTACAATACCCATCATCCTTGACCACTGACTATGCTCACTGCAGCTGATGGGAGTTCAGAGTCCAACAGCAACAACCCCTCATTTAGATTGCAAGTCTGCAGGCAAACCTCCACTGTCTTTTCTTCAGCATCTTCTAATAGGCAGCAATTTTTGAGGGCTGGGGGTCACGAAATGACAGTACTATGTAGACTATGCTTTCCACATCCCAGTTACGCCACCCTCTGGATTAGAAATTGTGGTGGCAGCCTGCAGAGGACATACTACTCCAGCTGCTGATCTCTAATTTTGAGTTAAATCAAATCTGGATTAGGGATATGGAATCTGTCCTCTCTAGATGTTGCTGGACAACAGTTCACATCATCCCTGACCACTGTCCATGGTAGGTAGGTCTGATGGGAGCACAGGTTCCCCATCCCTTGTCTAGGTGAATCATCTAAACCATTGGTCTTCAACTGGTAGGTGAGGACCCATCAGTGGGTCATGGCCTGATCCAAGATGGGTCGCAACAGGAGCACTACCACCATGCACATATATGGTAAAAAAATTAAGAGATGGGTCTCCAAATACATGTTTTGGTTAAAAGTAGATCCTGGGTCTAATCTAAATTACTGATCTAAATAACCACAGATTTTAATTGCAGGAGAAACTGTCTTAATCATTCCAGATCCCTTCCTTCTTTCTCATGTTGTCTAGGGTCTCGTACCAACTCTATTGTTCTGTAACAATGGACAACTCCTGAACAGGAAGAAAAATCTCACCACTTCCTCCTTCACATCTGAACTTTCACAGGCGCAGGAACACAATACAAGAATTCCATCTCCAAAATACCTCACCACTACCAGTCTTACATCCGGGATGCGAGTGGCGCTGTGGGTTAAACCACAGAGCCTAGGACTTGCTGATCAGAAGGTCGGCGGTTCGAATCCCCGCGACGGGGTGAGCTCCCGTTGCTCGATCCCTGCTCCTGCCAACCTAGCAATTCGAAAGCTCATCAAAGTGCAAGTAGATAAATAGGTACCACTCTGGCGGGAAGGTAAACGGCATTTCCGTGCACTGCTCTGGTTCGCCAGAAGCGGCTTAGTCATGCTGGCCACATGACCCGGAAGCTGTACGCCGGCTCCCTCGGCCAATAAAGCAAGATGAGTGCCGCAACCCCAAAGTCGGCCACGACTGGACATAATGGTCAGGGGTCCCTTTACCTTTACATTTGCCACTCTTATACCTGCTCTCAATGCAGGAAGGATATCACAGAACCATGTGTGATGGTGCTTGTAAGACTCAGGGAGATTTGCTAGCTCTTTTGGGTGCCTGAGGCATTTCTAGACTTTCCCCTTTACTCAAAAATTTTATTGCATATTTCACCTCCACTTTCAAAAGGTTGCTAATCTTTTAAAAGGCAAATATGCACCCCTGTTGTCAGGTCTAGAACTTTAAATTTGAAACTCCCACACTGAGAGGGGGGAAGGGGAAACTGATCTTCTACTTTCCCTTATATTTAAGTGAGAATGGAGGTGCCATATTAGTTTTTCTTTATCTGAAAAAAGCCGTGTACCTGTGATTCCAATTAGTGCCAGAGAGAGAGAGACTCAGCTGCATAACTGCTGAGTCTTTGGTCTGTTATAGTTTTTTTTGGGGGGGGGGGTTGCATTGTCAAAGGGAGAGCTGCTATTGCTTCCCTGAACCTATCATTCCTCTGTGTTACCCTGAAATGTTGGCTGCGTTCTAACTAGAAAGGGCTTCTTCTATTACCATTTTAAGGCTGAACTCCAAATAACACTTCCTGGAGAATAAATCCCATTGTACTCCTCAAAACTTTTTATTCTGAGTAAACAGGTAATGGATCACTCTGAATGATTATAACAAACATAAAGCAAAGACAGCAATCAATTCATTCTTAGTTTAGGAAGAGTTCTATGCAGTTCCAAAGCTCACATACATTGTAAATCTTGATGTAAAAAAAAATATTGTATATTACTATCTCCATTTTAATTATTTACCTAAAGATATTAACTCTGGATTGGAGCACATTCTGAAACAAATGCTGTTTTAATTTGCTTTAGGCAACAAAGACCAGCAGATATTTTAGTGGATGAAGTTTTGTCTTTTAATTGGTTTATGAAGACAAAGCATATGCCATGACACAGTTAAATGATTAACAGATTCCCACGAATGCCTTTGGCATTGAATATCTATACATTCATTAGCCCAAACAATTCATCTTCTTGATAAAAACTAAAATTAGCAATAGAGCAGGTTTACTTTTTATGATTAATAAACGATAAAAAATCTAAATTATCCCATCTGAAGCGACTGCTTTCTTAGCTATTAATTTTAGATTTATCAGTTTCTATAATCCATGCTATTAAGTTTAAAAATCAATTTTCCTCAAATATTGTTTTAATATGCTAAGAGAAGCAAATATATTACATGGAAAGAAGTGCCTCAATTAAAAACAAACAAACAAATATTCGTTTTAGGGCCATTTCTAAATCAAGCTACAAAGAGACGGAACATTCGATATATACATATATCAGGGTTTTTTGGAGTAGATGCAATACATGAATGAGCCTATATGATAAATTATAACACACACACACAACCAGATTAGTAATAAAGCATCTGCAGCAAAGAGGGAATCCAACTTGCTTTCATTTTACAAGCTTGTTTACATTTCTTTTGGGGGGAAATGCAGACCCCAGATAAATTGGAAAAACAGCCCTCCTCATCCCTGGCACCCTATCCCCAGAGCTTCTCAAGAAGAACTGCTGCCTTGGCCTATGAGTGATACCAAAGGATGTGCAATGACAAGAGCGGGGCTTTTTGACGAATGGTCCTGGTGCCTCGTGAAAGCTATGTTGCTTCTTTTCCTGCCATTGGTCTTTGAATTTAATTTCTCTGTGGGGATTTTTTTTAAATATGAAAACCACTTCTGGGCTTTAAAGCAAATTTACACACAAAAACTAAAGTCTGGAGTCAACACGTGCTCTTTCCCAATGATCCTAGAGATCACAAGCATTAGGCAGGTGACAGGCGTAAGTATTGAATGTGGAATGAGAGAACCTAAGCATCACTTCCCCTGGTGTTTATTCACAACCCTCTAAATGGAAAAGGTGTACCAATGGTAAGAAAGGCGAAGAACACGGCATTCTCTCTTGTGGCTACAGATGTAAGAAGGCATCATTTTCCATTCTGCTTGAGTTCCCTGTCCACAGCACTGTTTCTGTTTCACTACAGCTCCTCTTCCAACCCAAAATTATGCTATTCATCTCACTGTCTACTGTGGTGAAATTATGTCGTTTATGTTCTCTGTTTCTCTATTTCTTCTTCTTGGGAGAAAAGCAATGACAAACCTAGACAGCATCTTAAAAAGTAGAGACATCACCTTGCCAACAAAGGTCCGTATAGTTAAAGCTATGGTTTTGTATAGTGATGTATGGAAGTGAAAGCTGGACCATAAAGAAGGCTGATCACCGAAGAATTGATGCTTTTGAATTATGGTGCTGGAGGAGACTCTTGAGAGTCCCATGGACTGCAAGAAGATCAAACCCATCCATTCTTAAGGAAATCAGCCCTGAGTGCTCACTGGAAGGACAGATCCTGAAGCTGAGGCTACAATACTTTGGCCACCTCATGAGAAGAGAAGACTCCCTGGAAAAGACCCTGATGTTGGGAAAGATGGAGGGCACAAGGAGAAGGGGACGACAGAGGGCGAGATGGTTGGATAGTGTTCGCGAAGCTACCAGCATGAGTTTGGCCAAACTGTGGGAGGCAGTGGAAGACAGAAGTGCCTGGTGTGCTCTGGTCCATGGGGTCACGAAGAGTCAGACACGACTAAACGACTAAACAACAACAACATGTTGCTGTTACGTTATTCCACCCCATTCATTTTGTGAACGACATGACAGTATTTTGTCTTACCTACAACACCATTGCACCTAACTAATATTGATACTAGTAACATAGAGAAAGGGAGCAAGAGACTGGTTGTGAGTGTCCTGTTCTCACATGAACTTGGAATGTGTTGGTGGGGGAATCTGATACAAAGAAGTGCAAGCAGGTCCTTTCCATGTCCTTTCCATGTACACAGCTGGAACATGACCACCCCCACAGCATCCTGCTGTTTCCTGGACACGAGTGATCGGCTTTGATGGAACCATCCCATTTTATGTTTTGAGGCCCCTCTCCTCAAAGCGTCCTGCCCTCTGGTACCTTTCTGCCCATTCTGGACATGTTGCAGGGATTTCTGCACCTCTGGGCTACACCTTTAAAAATCCAGAGAAAATCTGAATTAAACATTTTAAAAAGTATAGGTGCACATTTTGATGATGATGATGATGATGTCAGGTATCAGGTGGGCAGGATGAAAAACTTGCATGCAGCAGCAGCATCAATTCTACCCAATAATGCTCCACCTGGAAGCCTTTTTGTTCCCTAGAACACATGCCTGCCCTTCATTTGCCATACACTGACAACACAGACCTATGGAAGGCCAAAGAAGTCAAGATGATACTTGAGAAAAGTGTGAATACGTGGTGCATGAGCAAGTAATTAAAGTGAAATTGGGCCTGAGTGCCCTTAACTTTCAACTGCATTCTAACAGGGACTTCTCCTTAAATAACTATGTGCCCAGTTCTATTGCTAGTACACGCTTACAGTAAATGCTGCTATCCAGACTGCAATTTATCAAGGCAGAAAGGTAGCCTAATAGGAAAGATAGTTGCACTGCATATTAGCAACCTGTGTCTCACAGCACTCCAAGTCTCACTTAAACCTCACAAACAAACAGCGTCAACCAAATATCCAGCATCATGTGCATTCTGCTGGCAGCATCGCTTTGTAACATCCAAAGAAGATGTTGCATGTGGAACAGTGCGCCCATATATAGCTCACATACGGTCCCCGTGAAAACATCAAAATGAACTGCCACCTGTTAGACTCACAAATTATTACATATCTGATTGGTTGCAATTAATTGTAATATCCAACCAACTCTTAAATGGAACTTGGTTTGGAGGGATTTGAAAATCATTTTAATCTTGTATATTTTTGCATATATATATATATATATGGCTACATAGCAAAAGCCCTGAGCATTCCCAAAGACAGTAAACAGTGATCACTTTTGAAAATGCTGCGATGAAATGGATTGCTCTGAGGGCTGGGGTGATTGTATGTATATGTTCATATGAGAGTAAAGTGATGTTTTATGGCCGAGTCCCAGTGTAAGACATTTCAAAATAAAAGACCCCGATCTGACTTCTCTACCAGTTTAACTAAAAATCCACCTTATAAATCAATAGCATAAATAAAAACTGCACAAATGCTTCTGCAGCTGGCAATACATTAAGAATAATTGACCTTGTCCTTTCAAAAGAATAAATATATTTAGATCACAACTGCTTGAGAGAACAGAGCAAGGATTGTGCGATTCACAAAGCTGTCCCAGGGTTTTGCTTTAAAACAAACAAACAAAAACCCAATGAAAACCTCCCAAAAACAGTGATCATAAGAGAAAACTTGTTCATACCATTATGTTCCACCCCACTTTACAGTATTGAATTATTTACATCTCTTAGGGTATATTCAGATGTGTGGATATTGCATTCATTTTCCTGGTTATGTAAACACTTATATCCAGGTTTCATTACCTGTTGTGTTAAGGAACTGTGGTTTTCTTATTGCTATACTGCCATGTCATGCTAAATTTCATTCGCATCACTGGCCATGGTGTGAAACAACCACAGACATCACTAGACATGTTGCCACTTTTTAATGCATATTTGTGACTCTGTTCCCACCCCCAGACTGCCATGATTTGGGGAGTGGGTGGGGTGGCAAACAGATTTTTTTTTTCCCCATGGAAATGTGTGCTAAACTTCCACTAGATTTCCAGAACTGGCTTTTACATCGTTTGAAAGAGCAGAAATTATCAGGTAAGGAAGCAGCAGAAAATGGAATACATCCTTATTATCAAATGTCTCGTCACCGCACTAAAGATGAAAAAAACTGTGACACATCTATAAGGTAGGTTTTTTACATCTTCAACAGGGAGCATGTGAGGCCATATTGTTATCTGAGTTTCATTAAACAGATGCAGCTCCCATTTAATGGAAACTGAAAAGAGAAATGAATACATTGAAAGACAGACAAAAATACTCATGTAAGTAATTCTGTAGTTACTTACTTCAGTATTCATATGATTTGGGCTGGTGGCAAAGAGAGTTTCAGTGTTGTAGAAGATGCCTATCATTTTTGTTCATTTAATGATGGAACTCTTATATTTTAACTAGCTGGTATAGAAAACCAGAATCCAGCCCTAACAAAGGATGCCTGGCACATTGAGAAGCTATTTCTGTAGTCTCACTTTTTAAGAACAATGGGGATATCCAAGATTGCAGAAACGGCAGGCGCATTAAGCTAATGAACCATGTAATGAGATGTGTGGGTGGAGGAAACACTGTAGAAGAGTAGATGGGGATGGATGACAATTCTAACAAGATTTGGTTTAGGCCAAGAAGGAGTATAAGACATATTTGGTTGCAACCAGAGTAAGTTAGCTGGAACTTGGGTCCTATTGAAATCCATGGAACAAGTTAGGTGAGTTAAGTCCTGTTTATTTTAACTGAAACTAACCTATGGTTGTATCTGATCAAGTCATCCCATGAGTGCAGCCTTTCTCAAACTTGGGTGCCCCAAGGTTGTTGGACTACAATTCCCATCCTCCCTAGCTACCAGGACCAGTGGTCAAGGATGATGGGAGTTGTAGTCCAACAACATCTGGGGACCCAAGTTTAAGAAAGGCTGCATTAGTGCAAGAACTTCTACCTGTGCAACCGGACTTCCTCTCCCCTTCCTCTTCCTGTGTACCCAACTCTGCACTTCCCCAAAGCGTTGGTGCTTACAACTTTAGAAGTAAATCTATGATCCCCCAGCACACATTTCTAAGCAACCAGTTGGGATCAGTGAAGAGGCACATATATAATTAGCTGTTGACATTTCACTGTTTTTTGGGGGGAGGGAATTCACCTGTGGTTTCATTATCTAAAAGGCATAATGAAAGACCATGCTATTCAACATCTTCCAAAATGTGATGCTCTCCTAATAATAATCTGAATTTTGAATCCTTTGGTTATATGGTAAGGTAAAATATATTGTGTGAATATCGTACAGTATTACATATATGAAATATTGACTACGAAGCAACCTGTTGAACCACCAGGAAGACTGAATTTGTTCTTAAAGTATATGGTTATTGCTAATAAACTTGACTAAAATCCCAGTCATTTCAAGGAGAGTTTAGTATATTATTCCACTGAATTCAGTTGTACTTAAAAGTGCTTCACTTAGACTGAATTCTTTGCAGCATTTCTTCATTCATTGCTTTCATTTCTTTCAAATGAAAGTGGCATTTGCTTTCTTGAGGGAAAGAAAACCAACTTGTCTTAAATCCAAACTTTATTAGCTTAAAGTTTTTGCCTTTCTTTTTTTAAGTCATGCTGAATACAGGAGAAGAGTTCCTTTAGGCTAAATGCTTATTAATTTAAGAACAGAAATTTTATAAGCTTTAGGAGAGATTATGCAGACCACAGAACAAGTGCGTTTACACATTACTTTAGTTAAATGGTTTATATAACTTCTATATCAAAATCAATAGTGTTGTATAACAGGATAATTTCACATATATAAACAAGCATATTTGTAGTACTATCAAATTAGTACTTTTTCACATAACATAAAAGGTTGCCAGAGAGCTGGGAGCCAACTAATTTCATCTTTGACATGTAAGGGCTGCAACACGGCATATGCTTGGATTGTTTTAAATCCCACTGAAGTAAATTGGATTTAAACATCCTTGATGCTCACAGGATGGTATTTCAGCTCTTTTTCTCTTTTGGTCACAAAACTTTCCAGTTAGGATCTGCGGTTAAAAAAAAATCAGGAAGTGAAATTTGAGGTGAATCTGAGGGCTCCTTCTCATTTTAAATATCTGAGAAATTTCCAGAGAAAGCACAACAAAACTGGTGAGATTTCTTGGGAAAGGGCAGGTTCTACGCATCACTAATTTAAATATAATGTAAGGGTGATTAATTTCTTTCAAATACAGCATAGTAACTGTAAAAGGGAAAAGTAACTTTTCAAAATAACTGAATGGTTGAAACCTACAAAACAAAAGCTCATCCAGTGTGTTCGTGCTGTAATTAATTATCCAAAATGTATAATTAATATTTTAGATTTCATTTGCGTCTGTCATTCTCTATGGAAACCATTTTTAGAATTACACAGAAACTAAGAAATAAACCCAGGGCACAGGTGGTCCAGAAGCAGATAACAAACTGAAACAGGACCTGAGAAGAAAACTGCAAGTATTTCAGATCTCAGCATGTCAGCAGGAGAAATTGCTGCACTGACAAGCCACTGCGATTAGGATGTTTCTCATCTCTTGGGACTTTTTGACCTATATATTTTCCAATCCTATTTATGTAAGTGATTCTCACATTTTGCATCATCTAGAGTCAGACTGACATATCTGGGGACTTTTAACAGAAATTGACCTTGTATGTGCAAGGTGGGAAGAAAAATATATTCTGCCTTTTTTGGCACTTGAAACACACACACACACACAGAGAGAGAGAGAGAGAGAGAGAGAGAGAGAGAGAGAGAGAAACTACAAATATTGGCCCAATAAGAGTTGTTCAGGGTCAGCTTGTGAAGTCAAACCACTGCAGTAGAAGCTCCAAAGTGGCCTCTCTGGAGCAAAGCCTGGGCAGTGTGCATAGAGGTCCTAGGTTACCCAGATGACAAGACCTCCCTCTCAGCCTCGCTGATGTGGT